AATTAGATAAGTATATAGGCTAATCTTTAATATAAATCCTATACTCTCTTAGTCTCTTATTATAATTATCATATAGATATTTATATTATCTTACTAAAAGACTCTTTGAAGCTTCTAAATTGGGTATAAACTTATTATATATCCTTTTTTAAAGACCCTTATTTATATTTTATTTCATAATAATTAACTCTAAATTTTCTCAATGTAAAATTATATCTCAAATTATTTATAAAATATCCTTAATATAGATTTTGGTATTTACTGAATTATATTAATATCTTTCAATAACAAATCTCTAATATTATTTTAGTCTATAATATATTAAAATAAATACTTCTCTAAAAGGATATAATTAAAATCATAGTTTCTTTTTAAATTTAAAGCTATTTTTTAAGTAAAGTAGTATTTTGTTTTAAAAAAAAAAGATCTTTTAATGAGAATCCCTTATTTTATTAGCTTCTTAAAGAGAGTAAATATCTTTAAAAGTTATTGAATTATTAAGCGAGATAGATAGCTAATTATCTATTCTAAAAGTTATCTATATATCTAAACATCTTATTTAAACCTTTATATAGTTCAAACTTTAAGATCTATTATTTAGAATTAATATAGAATATTCTATATACTTCTCATTTAATAAATAATTTTAGTATAATTTTAAAACATTAGACTAATTATATAATTTATATATGAAAAGGTATTATAATGAATATATAATATAGTTATATATAGAAAAATTGAGTATAAAAAAAAATGAGAACCATATCTACTTAAAGTAGATATTAAATCATAAATAGTATAAGGATACTCTAAAATAATATAGTAACTATAATAAGCCCCTTATTTACTATTTATTTATATATATATAGTTAGTATTATATGATTATAAACTTTTTATTAATTCTTAGTAGTATATATAGGAGTTACTTATATATACCTATCTATAAAGCTTATCCTACTCTACTTTTCTAGCTAATAACTACCTATACTTTTTCCCTTCTCTAATACTATACTAAGTTATATATAGATATACTTAAAAATTATCTCTCTCTACCTTTAAGTAAGATAAGTATCTTTACTATATATATAATAAGAGACTAGTTTAAGGAGTAGTATAAATTGTATAGAATTTGACTTATCTATCTAAAATTTATTTTAACTATTATATATATAGTTAAAGCTTTAATAATTTTAATTCTATCCTAAGCCCCTAAATTTAGGTAAACTATGGACTAATCAGATATAATTTAAAGTATATATAATAGAGGCCTAGTAATTATTGCCCTAAGAGTAAATTAATATTATAATAATAAGTATACTAACAGAGTTAGTAATAGATTTTAGAGCTAGAAGTATTATATATAGTATTAAATCTCTAAATTTAAACTAAGTAACTATATAAAATTTAAGCTTTATAAGTGTATAATTTATATATAATTCCTATAAGATATAGTAGTATGGTATACTAGATTATAGATATAAATATTTAATAAGTATAGGGCTAAAATAGGATTTAGTATAATACTTATAAGTACTAATTTCAAGAGTAAATTAACGGTATAATAAGTAATTCAAGATAGATAGTTTAATTAAATTATATAATTTAATAAGGTAGATAGCATACTTATATATAGCTTACTTATTAGTTATCTTAATAGAAGCCTAGGATAATTAGATCAACATATTTAGGTATTATATATATAGTTAAGGGATATTATATATTATATTAAGTTAACTTTATATATAAAATTAGTATATTTATAAGTATATTTAATTATATATATATTAAATAAAGTACTTAAGCTAGAAATAATTAACGTATTTTATAAGCGAGCGGGATACCTAGTTAGCTAGGACACCCTAACTAAAACGCGTTAATTAATTATACCTTTCTTATCTAACTATCTACTATGCTACTAATTCACTCTTAAAATCATTAGAATTTAATATATTAAGAAAGCTAGATTTTACTTACTATCTAGGCTCTTAAAAAGTAGGATAAGCTATTAATTTATAAGGTAGTATATATATATAATATTCTAAAATTAACACTTTATGCCTATCTTATTAGACGCGAAAACCGCGTTAAATCCCGCCTAAATTTATTTAAATTAACTAAAATCGAGGAGAATTTACTAGAGAAATAGGTACTTTCTATAGATAACTAAGGAGTGATACTATAACCTAAAATAGTATAAGAAATAGCTAATCTCTTACTTATAATATATAAAATAACCCTAATTTAAACTATTAATAAGAATTAGGTAATAAATTATATTAAATAATACCTAGAGCTTAATATATAGTTCTCGAGACGCTATAATTATATATATATAAAATATAAAGTTCTAAAAATTATAAGAGAATAGTTTAATCTTATTTAAAAGATAATTTATAGTAATAGGATTAATCTAAATAATATCTATAATTTTAATAAGATAGGCTTTATAATAGGCTTAACTATAACTATAAAAGTTATAATAAGAGCTAAATATTATAGTTAGCGCACTATTTTATAGCCTAGAAATTATAAATAAGTAACCTTACTTAAGTATATAGGTATATCTAGATTTAGCCTCCCTCTAATAATTATCTTTTAAGGGTAAAGTTTTTATTATAAGCTAGGCTAATAAACTTCTAAATAATTAGTAATTTAAGGTTAGCCTAAATAGATAGACCTTAGATAAAATTAGCCTTTACTAACTTAAAAAGGTCTTTCTTCTATTAACTTCCTTAAGAATAAAGGGGAAATATTAACTCCTAGTTCTTAATAATTATAGGAGCTATTTAACTCTAAAATTTAATAAAATTTATTATTAAAATAATATAATTCTAATTTATATACTACTACACTCTTCTTATCTTTTATAACCTCTTAATATAGGTTATTTTATAGTTCTTAAGCGTGTATATAGTTAAATCGTTAAAAATTTGATATAGATTAGAGTAAACTATATTAATAAATTAGACTTTCTCGACGCTTTTTTAATTACTTAAAATAAGGTATTTAAGCTAGAAATAATTAAAAATAGCTTCTTAGTAACTAGATTAATACTATATAATCTAAATTAAGTAATTTTAAAGCTTAATATTTAACTCTATATACTTATACTACTACCTTTTTAAGAGAGCGAAAGTAGTATATAAGAGCTAAAAATACTATTAAATTATAAATAACTCTAGAAGTAAGCTTCTTTAATTAAAAAGCTCTTAGAAAAACGCTCTAAGAGCCTACTAAGCCTATTAAATTCTACTATTAATTAAGTACTAAAAGCTTACTAAATCATAATATAATCTACTACTTTTCTTACTTAAGAAAATAAGCTTTTACGTGCTAGAAATAAAAAAAGAAGTAGAAAAAGGCAAGATTAAAGTAATAGATAGCTTATCTAGAAGGTCTATTAGTAGTAGAGCTTAAAGAATTAGCCTAAAAGGTTAAAAATCCGTAAATTTAACCTTAAGATAGAGAGCTAACTAGTTAAAATCTAGGTTAAGAACCACGACGTTAGGCTCCACTAAGGTACTTAGAATATAATATCTAAGGGTATAAAAGAACGTATTATCTAAAATTAGTTAAATAGCTTATATATTTAATATTATATAGGTATGCTTAGATTATTCTATTAGAATTATAAGAATTTAGTTAGGGTGTCCTAGCTAACTAGGTATCCTACTCACTTATGAAATATATTAAGAATACCTTTCTTAGTAATTAGGTTAATTTTATATAATCTAAAATAAGTAGTTTTAAAGCTTTATAATTAAATTTATATATTTATATATTAGAGAATGGAGTCCTTACGTGTTCTCTAAGTTCGCACTTTATCCTTTATTTTACCGGAATTCTCCGGTGTTTCGCTTATATCATGTCATGTGACATTTTCCTTATTTTATTTATTCTATTTAATTTCTTCTCTAAATCTCAGGTATTTAGTTCTCGTATTTCGGCAGAATACTTTAAATCTTATGCCTATTCCTTCTCCACTTTCTATCCTGAGAATTTCCTGAGAGGACCCTAAATTAGCTTAGCTTGATCACATTACCTTATTCATCTAATCTAATTCCCTAAGATTAGTAACTAGTCGCCCTACCAACCTTAGATAGTTATGACCCTAGTATGCCCTCTCTAAGCACAAAAAATCCTTATATTTTAACGCAATTCGTGTCGTTTTTTCCTAAGATTGGTAACTAGTCGCCCTACTAACCTCAGTCGTTTTAACCGCACGTAAATATACATATAGGCTACTTAAAAATAATCATTTTAACCACACGTAGCTATACGTGTGGGTTATTTCGAGATAGTCTCTAGTTTAGAGATCTCTTATATTCTATTCTATTAAGCCTACTAATTAGCTAGAGCCTTATTAGATTACCTCTAAATTGTGATATTTCACATTTCACTATTTTCAACGCAATTCTAAGTCAGAATTTATATTCTCTATCTACACGTTACATGTATCTATACGTGTTTATATGTTTATATATTTATTTATTATTCATATATTTATATGGTTTATTTATTTATTGGTGAAAATTTTATAAGTTTACTGGAAAATTCCAGCTATATCCTGCTATATATACCTAGACCTGGACAAAACCCGCGGGATTCCCACCGTGGGACAGACCGTGGCACGGGTAATTTCATAAAAACTAGTCCCATGGGAGTGGGGCGTGGTGGTCAAAAATGGTTTGTCCCGTCCCATGGGCGGGACTAGGAGGGTATATCCCGCCCACCTTGGGAAATGGGAATACCCATGGGCCTGTAAACAGTGCAAACAGTTACCCTTTTTGGACGTGCATTATTAATGTAGATTCTTGGTTTTTTTGGTTGTATTTCACTTACGTATAGTTTAGTGTACTAATCTTGGTTCTGTCTAATTTCAATTTTAATTTTAAGTCCTATATTACTTTGGATTTATGGTGCTTATATGACATAAATCAATTTGAAACTGAATAAAATGATATGGACTAAGTACATGGAGTATTTCGGCCGAAAAAAATCAGTAGTTACTGACGAACATAGAATCCTCTCGTCTTGGGCGCTTTTCACCTTGGAATCTCGTTGACATCCGGGACTGGGTTGCCTCTCCTTTTTGCGGTGGAAGATCTAGCTCACTACCTTTTGAAGGTTCTAGAGGTTCTAGAGATGGAGAAGAAGATGAAGCTGGAGGTTGATGTAGATATGGATCTAGGTCTGGATCTGGATCTGGATCTGGAGGACCTGGTAGAGAGATTGTAGGATTCTCTTCGTCATCTTCATCGTCTGGAATAGAGTAAAGTGATCGGCTACGTCTCCGTCTCTTTCTAAGAGGTTGTTGGCTTGATCGCTGCTTTGATCGCTGGCTTGGTCGTTGCTTTGATCGCTGGATAGGACGTTGTGAATGACTAGGTAAGTCTTCCTCTTCGTCGTCACTAATTGGATTAATCCCATCAACCTTAAGAAAGGAAGCTTCACGCCTCTCTTCGATCTCATCAAGTTCTTCACGAGTATAGACTTGCTTATATAAATTAAGCTCATCTTGCTCAACTTCGAAATTTGACGTACACCGAAATAGCATTAAGGCTTGAATTGTTGATGGTGAAAGAGACCCACGCCGGTAGTGGCATATATCTCGGGCAGAGTTGAAAAGACGTTCTACACCAGCTCCAGTTGCTGGAATAGAGAAGACATCTCGTGCTAGCCGCGCAAGAGTTGGGAATTGACGCTGCTGGTCTCGCCAGTACGTACAGGGATCTTGTTCAGTCTGTTGTCCTATATGAAGATTAGACTAAGGACGAGCTAGTAAATCAGGAAAATAGGTAAAATACCAAGATTCAGGTAGGTTGTAAGCTCATTATTAGAGCTTAGCTTCTTAGCTTGCTGAGGCTGAGAGTCACTGAATAATCCCCTAAACTGACTAGTCGTCTGGCTAATGGCAGTTACTGGTAAAGGTGGAGAGGCTAGCTGCTATTGGTAGTTAAGAAGGTATCGCCGTAAAGAGTTCTCATATTTTTCCCGCCATTTATAATTGTTATCTGCCCAGTCTGTTCCTGAGAAGAATTCAAGCTTATTCTCTGGGGCAAGAATTGTCCTAATTGCGAAGAGATGGCCATGGACCTCCTCTGTCTTATTATAATAGATAGAAAGCTTCTTTTTTCCAGCTTGAAGTGAAGAAAGCATCTCTTGCTTCCATACTACCTATAGAAAGGTTAGTTATAGAAAAGCATCGAGTATGGTATTATACCTTCTTCTTGATAAGCTGATGAATTGACTTCTCAAAATGCCCAAAAAGTAGGTTATAAATCTTGAAAACGTTGTAAATTGTGACTTCCTTGCTCTTTGATAACCCTTTTGTCTAGTAGTAGAATGGCTTAGTAATCTGGAGAAGGTAGTTAATCTATCTCCATTCTTCTGTATTTAAGGCAAATTGGTGTTGAAGAAAGTCCGCACAATATTGATCAAAGACTGGCGCAAGACGTTTTGCTCGTCTTAGCATAAGGAACGTTGAATTCTAGCGAGTTCGGACATCCTGGATTGGAACAAGCTTTAGATGAGCTTGTTGAAGATTTGTGAAGGCTTCTCGGCGTTGGGGACTCGCGTTGATATAGACGGCGAATTTGCGGATCTAATAAGACGATTAGTTACTTTTTTTTGGCCGAAAAAACAAGAAGCATGGTTTAGACCGTATCCCGTAAACGCATAATAAGAGTAGAAGCTTACCTTTAAAAGCGTATAGCGTATTCCTTGAGACCGATCATGCACGTTTAAAGCCCTCTCTTGGTCTTCTGACCATTGTCAGTCAGCGGTATCATTTATAGGATTGACCTTCATAGCACCAAGAAGGTCACGTAGGCTAAGTTGAATCATATAAGCGAGGCAGGGAATCTGTATAATTGGCGTTGTTGAGCCGACTGGTAGTTCAAGGGAGTCAATAGCCTGCTGGAGGTTCTCAACTAGTGTAGAGTTATTTGACGCGTTATTAGTGGTGACGGCTAATACCCGATCCATAATATCATGATCTTGAAGGACCTTGAATACCACCGTACCAAGGTTCTCACCAGAATGTGTCCCAGAAAGTGGCTTAAATGCTAGAAGAATCTCGCGAAAATTCCAATCAGCATCCACAAAATATCCAGTAATAGCCATAAAGGCCTGTGTAAATGGCGACGTCCAGTAGTTAAGTGCAATAGAGAGCTTCGCACCACTTGGTAAGGCTGATAATACCCTCTATTGGTCTTCTTGCACCATTATCTAAAGGCGACGACGTGCTGTCCTTGGATGGAGGAGCTTAGGTTTTGAAGTTGAGAGCTGAGCTTCTGTGATTAGGTCCTCGAAATCCTGGTGTGCTAGAAACTGGAATGGAAGGGATGACTTTACAAGTAGCCTAACCTGCATCCGTTCCCACTGGTCGGAGTTAAAGGTTCGTTTTGTTAGGGACGGTATTTGGTCCTGGATAGCGAAATAGGTCAGTAACATAGTATTTTTTTCGGCCGAAATAATTCGTTAAAGAACTAGGACGGATTTCTAATACTTACCACATTATTAAAGGAGCCTGGGATATCCTTTTGCCATAGCCTTTTATGGGCTAGACGCTTACATGCCCCTGTGGATAAATGTCGTTTTGAAGCACTCGTTCCATTTTAGGTAATATTGGGGTGAGGGAGAGTCCTTCCACATTTCTGATAAAGAACCCTTGGCTCACCCGTAGTGTGGTGCGCGACCTGGTTAAAGTCTTGCTAAACGTCAGAAGTTCGTTTAGCGTCCCAGTGCATCTTTTTCTGTGTGTTAGAAGGTTGCGTCTCCATCCACCACTGAATAAATTCAGTCTTATTCATCTCAGTCTAGATAACCCAAACCTTCTGCTTAGGAGGTCCACCACGTTGAAGAAATTGAGGAGCAGAGGGTAGAGGTGATAGAAAATCAGTAATCTGCGTAGAGACTAGAGATCTCTGGCTATTAGGGACTTCAGTTATAGAGGGAGGGTTAAGATGAGTAAATGAATCTTCATATAACTTATTCCCTGCTAGTGAAGAAGGACCAGCGTCAGAAAATTGACTAAAACTTGACATATTCACGAGCTTTAAGGTAGAATCGAGTATAGGAAAAAAGAGGTTTTGAAGAGTACTCCAAGACATTTCGAAGAAGAATTAAAAGAGAGCTTACCAAGGAGACGAGCTGAACCTGTTTACCAGTCTAGAATATCGCGCGTGGGATAGTTCTAGAGAAGAGATGAGATGAGGTAGGCCACAGATGTTTCATGAAAGGAAATTAGCTAATTTCTAAGGGCATTCTAATTGGTAGAGTATGTAGGACATCCTAAGCCACTAAGAGCTCTGATTAGAAGATCATGTAGCATTCCACGTCGTATTCTACGCCACCTATAGCCTAATTATGGGATCTTAGGTGGGCTACCCGTTAGTCCCACGGGAAGTCCCGTATAGTCTAATTCTTCGGCAACTCGATGTCCCCAAGAATTTTGGAGAAGAAAAATCGACATTTCTGAATTTATATTTTGAAATACAGGTTATAATATTCACTTTAGAGCTTTAAAGGAAGAGAGAGGTAATTGAATTAGCGGATAGCTACTGATTCCACATATTTAAGTAGAAAAATACCTTGAATCAGCCCCTAAGCCCATCGGGGGGCCGCCCCCGGATTAGTTTGAAAGCATTCATAGTGGAAATATATATTTCTACCTTCATGATTTTCGTTCTCTACTAGTTGAATAGGATTTATTCGGCCGAAAAAATCTCTTTCCTTCCAAAATCTATAATATTAGCCTTAAATGTTATATTCTAACGCACATCTTTAACCAGCATTTTATTCGGCCGAAATGTTAAGATTTTGAAAGACTGACGAGCATGCCTCTCTTTTTTCAGGTGACTTTTCTAGTAGAATAATGAGAAACTGACTCTTCTGACGCTAATTAGGTATTCTGATATCTCCATTTCCTGAAATGGATATATGGTAGCATTCGGAAGGTGGCAAAAGCCCCCGATTGGCTAGCTAATTTAGCTTTACGGGCTACACGTCTATTCTAAGCGCGTCTTTGTACGCGTCTTCCCTAAAGGTGTTTACGGGGTTGAACGCGTTCTAACTGCATCTTTGATAGCATCTTTGACTGATTGCATCTTTGACAGCATCTTTGACTGCATCTTTGACTGCATCTTTGACGGCATCTTTGATGGCATCTTTGACGGCATCTTTGACGGCATCTTTGACGGCATCTTTGACTGCATCTTTAACTGCATCTTTGACTACATCTTTAACTGCATCTTTGACTACATCTTTGACTGCATCTTTGACTGCATCTTTGACTGCATCTTTGACTGCATCTTTGACTGCATCTTTGACTGCATCTTTGACTGATTCTTTAACTACATCTTGGAGAAATGGGTCTCTTTAATGGCCTATTTTCTCCAAGGATGGCTCAAAGGCATAAAAATGGGTTTTCTTTAAGTATCCTCTTTCTTTAACATCTATTTTGGTGGGCTTTGACAAGCATCTTTCTTCAGTCTTCGATATGTGGTAAGAGAAGTAGGAAAAGTGGGAGACTGAGGTATAAAGGCTGCATTTTTTTGGTAAACAAACCTTCCATCTTCTACAACCGATCAGAGGCTATTCTAACACCTTAGTCTTTACAGCTTTATAAAGCCCTCAAAGTCCGCTGCGAATATCAACCTCTATCCATCCTCTCCATCCTCTCCATCCTCTCCATCCTCTCCATCCTCTCCATCCTCTCCATCCTCTCCATCCTCTCCATCCTCTCCGTCCTCTCCGTCCTCTCCGTCCTCTCGAACTAAGGCACTATTTTCCTGATACTCCTACTCAAAATGAACCCTTCATCAATAAACCAGCTAGCTCTGGAAAACTTGCTTAATAATAACCTAGACCATGCCAACCAGTCTATGTTCGAGAAGGTTATGCTCGCTGTCAAGAGCCAGCCTGAAGATAAGCGGTATGCGTTTCAGGTGGATGTGATGGAACATCTAATGAAGCTCCAAGACGAAAATTCTGATGCGGTATCTCGCTGGTATTCATACGTGCTTGAAAGTGGGGTTTGGAAAAATGAGCGAAACCAGCCTAGCTTTAATGAGGAATGGCAGCGGGCTCGATAGATACACGACCGGCATCAGTAGAACCTGGAATATGTTACATCTATCAAGGAAAAGGCAATTCAGAAATGGGGGGTAGAGAATACGTCAATTTTCTTTACCAGAATCACTACCAGGTCGATGGCTGAATAAGTGAGTAAAATGCTGAGGCAAGGTCTCGATTACGCACAGGTACAGCTTGGTGTTAACCATGAGCTAGTTAGTCGACTGAACGCCGCTGGACGGGGATATCGCCGTTCTAAACACCTGATATAAGGAGACTTAGTACGGGCAGCTACGGCGCTAAAGACGGAGCCTTTACGAGCGCAAGAATTCAAGCGACATGGTCTACAAATTGACGAAGATGGCTTCTTAGTTGCACGAGATGATCCACCAAGTCCGGATATCCACACTGAAGATGAGGCGGATTTTGAAGATGAAGACGTTGGAGATGGAGATGGAGATGGACATGAAGATGATGTAGAGAGTGATCAAATTAATGATTCTGAGCCAGAAACGAACCCCTCTACTCGGTCGCCATACCGTCCTCTTACTCCAGAAACTCCATCAAAATCCCCAAATACGCAGAAGAAGAAGAAGCAGAAGCAGAGGCGATACCGAAGGCATTTTGGGATCAATAACACGTCTCTGACTGGTCGAAAACGACGAAATCGTGGATCAACACGGAAATCGAAGTGCATATGTAAGCTATCAAGATCCACGTTGCAGGGTTTCGAAGATGTACCAGAAAACGTTGACGATCGGGCTAAATTGATGCTATTACAGAGGATTAACTGGAAAATGGGAGTTATTTCGGCCGAAAACCTGTGTTATAGACACGCGCGGAGACTCTGTGCATATCTCGGCTTATACACCCGACAGTTCAAGTATCCAGACCTTATCAGCAGGTTGGCTTACGCAACGCGATAGATGGGAAGCTGGGCTACTTTTATAAAGGAGAAGTCAGTCTGGTTCACGCCAAAGAACCTACCTAACAATATGGTATGTAGCTCATTTCGATTTGAGCTTGATGCGCCTTCCCCGAGACTACGGATTGCATAATACCACGAACAAGGCTTTAGTCTTGAGGACATATGCACGAGAATCTACGGTATCCAGGATCCTAGATACCAGGAACTAGCCACAGAATTTGATGAGTGTGGAAATGTGATATTACCAAGGCTGTTTGGATGGTTAGAAGACGATATCTCCGACCTTGATGGGGTTGACCAGCTATCCAGCATGCTTGGAATTGAGGTAAAGTCAATGCTTCAACTAGTCCAACTTGAATTTGACCTCTACGACTACCATTACACATCTGCGATCTCAAGGCCTAGAATGGGGTGGAACCGGAGCATGTTCCAATCCTTAACCTAGCAGCTAACACGGCAGGATGTGTGTTATTACGCTGTATATGTTGCAATTCGACCAGACCACGCCTGGAGGTTAATCTCGTTCCCTTACTATACAAAATCCGCCTATCCAACAGAAGACACGGAGTTTATCCATATTGACCTCAATATTGGGGACTTCTTAGCGACAGGCAGAGGTGGTAACGCGGTCCAAGGTTCTGTGTCTTTTACTGATGAGGATGAGGATAACTGCTCTATTGTGTTACCGAAAATTCAACACCATCTCCAAGGATGGTGGGACAAGATTACCGCAGATCCAGCAAAACAGGTCTCTGGGCACACAATCGCAGTGCATCCTTGGATGTGGAATTCTGAATATGCTCGAGAATTTGGAACAGATTTTGCGCGTACAATTTGCAAGACTGGAGATGTACGTCTCACGTTGCTGACAATCCCACATGGGTCAACTGGTCCAGCAACTAAACTCAGAAGAACGGTCATGCCTTGGTTTGGGACTATTGAGGAAGACCACACATGCTTAGAAACTGCAGAAGCAGGTACTTGGAGCGAAATTGCTGACTCTCACCGAGACATCCGTCTTGCCCCTCGGATCCCATCAGGTAGCACATGTCATGTGTTCGCCGTGAATCCTTACACTTTTCCAGGGACTGCCCAGCTCACAGGTCTAGGTGCACTTTCAGACGCACTTCTAGGTCGCATCAAGTGGACAGAATGGTCCGTTTTTGTTGATTTAGAGATACTATTTGGCGAGGACCGTCTTGCTGCGCATAACTGGATCAAAAAATGGCGACGTCGCGCATCTAGACAGTTTGTGCAGGCATTCCAGACCATTATTTCGGCCGAAAAAACGGCTTATGGGGAAAGCTCCTTCTTCCACTTAAAGAAGAATGGCCTACCCATTCCAGATGTCCATCTCCAGTATCAGAAGGATGTTGGATCCGACGCAGCAAGTGTCATAAGTGCTTTAACTGAGATGGACGACGAGGCAATGGACGAGTTAGAAGATCATGAATAGAATAGAGATGAAGACTGGTTGCGAACTTGACGAATTTGATGAATGTACTTAGTATAGAGATAAAAAATCCAAGTCTTTTCCTTAAAGATTTTACATACAGAAACCAGATATATTACCAATCTTTCAGCATTCTTAGTCAGCAGATTATGCAGGGACTTTATGTAGATATGGGTAATTTTGCGACTCCCATGGGAAACCCGTGGGTATACCCAGGACGGGAAATGGGTCAAAAAAATCCCATGGGAGTGGGGCGTGGTGGTCAAAACCATATTATCCCGGCCCGTATGACTAAGGACCCGCGGGCACGGGACAAGAATTTAGGACCTCCCGCGGGTTTTGTCCAGGTCTATATATACCCCATTTTTCGTGTAGAGAATTGTTCCTTTAATATATATTTTTCTATTCTATATTCCATGGGGAATTCAACCTTAATTTCTGATATTCTACCTTATGGAGCTCGGGCCGACTATATAGGCCTACCCTATAATATTGTCTATCATATTCTTCTGCCTTATCTCTATATTCGCCAAAATTAAGCTCGTTAAGCTCAGAATTCGATAATTTACCTATCCTCGAACGTTTTAGAACGTCTAGAATCCTTAGAATCCTCTATATAATCCTCTAAGCCCCTAAACCACGTCCTATCCTTCAAGTCTCACTTATCTCTTACTTTGACCTTACTTTAACCTTACTTCCACTATATCTATATCCATAGATGTGATCCTAATAGGTCCTACTACCTAGTAGCTCTAGTATACTTAAATTAAGCGCCTAGCTAAGTAATAGAATATATAGGATCATATTAATCTAGAATAGAATATACCTTAAGCAGCGTTACCTAGGGTACTAGATATTATAGATATTAACGTGGATAATATAGTATATAATATGTTAGGGCGCGGGCTGGTAGGGTTATAATAGGAGGAGATCGATAGGATTAGAATGTATCTAGAAGGATTCTAATTAATCAGGTAGTAGACGGGGGCAGACTAGCGTAAGCTTTTATATAAGACGTAGCTTGAAGAGCTATAATAGGGTCTAGGATAGATGTGTGGATAAATAGACTAAAGATCACGTGCCCGTGATCTTCCTTATCGGTCCTGGCGGGTCTAGGCGGACCCTTATAGTTCACACCGTGATAGTACCCCCTCCCTTAGGGCTAAGCTCTATTAAGGCAGGGCTTATAGGGGTATCTACAATAGAAGTTCTAGATAATTTCGCGGGCGTGCGCGAGGTATTTAACGGGTTCTTTAGTAGGGTCGTTATAACTAATCTATTTAATGGTATATTTTAGGCGCGGGCCTCTATAACCACGTCGTTCCTAGCGGGAATCTAGGATATCTTCTACTTCCTATTCCTCTAGTCCTTTAACTTTAACTAGAGGCGGGGGTTTAGGTACCTACTTATGTATTAGGTTCTCGGCCGCGAGCTATAGCAGGCTAACGTTAAATACTAGGTAGATCTTTATACTAGCGGGTAGTTCGAGCTTATAAGTGTATAGGCTTATGGCCTCTAGGACCCGAAAGGGTCCTAAATTCTTCTAGTCTAGCTTCTTCTATGGGTAGAGGGTCTTAATATTCCTAGCATTTAGCTAAACTAGTTATCTAGGATAGTAGCGGTAGGTAGGCGCGTGGTAACGGTTCGTTTACTCTTTATAACGGGCTTATATTGTCAGAGAATGGAGTCCTTACGTGTTCTCTGAGTTCGCACTTTTTTACCGGAATTCTCCGCTATTTCATTTATGTCATATCATGTGATATTTTACTTGATTTGTTTGTTCTGTTTGATTTCTTCTCTAAATCTCAGGTATTTAGTTCTCGCATTTTCGGCAGAATAGTTTGAATCTCACGCCAATTTCTTCTCCACTTTCTATCCTGAGAATTTCCTGAGAAGACCCTGAATTAGCTCAGCTTGACCACATTGCCTTGTTCATCTGATCTAATTCCCTGAGATTGGTAACCAGTTGCCCTGCCAATCTCAGACAGTTATGAGCCCGGTGTGCCCTCTCTAAGCACTACAATATCCTCATATTTTGACGCTATTCGTGTTGTTTTTTCCTGAGATTGGTAACCAATTGCCCTGCCAACCTCAGACAGACACGATTTAGGTCGTTTTGACCACACGTAGCTATACGTGTGGGTTATTCCGAGATAGTCTCTGGTCTAGAGATATCTCATATTCTATTCTGTTGAGCCTGCTAGTCAGCTAGAGCCTCATAGAATTACCTCTGAATTGTGATATTTTCACATTTCACCATTTTTGACGCAATTCTAAGTCAGAATTTGTGTTCTCTGTCCACACGTGTGACGTGTGTGTTACCTACACGTATCTATACGTGTTTGTGTGTTTGTTGTTTGTTGTTTGTGTGTTTGTGTGTGTTTGTGTGTTTATGTGTTTGTGTTATACAAACACATAAATTGTCTGTTTGTTGTTTATGTTTGTTATTTGTGGGTGAAAATTCTGCAAGTTTGCTGGAAAATTCCGGCAATATCCTGCTATATATACCCCATTTTCGTGTGGAGAATTCTTCCTTCTTCATATATTTTCTATTTCATATTCCGTGGAGAATTCAACGTTGAATTCTGATATTCCACCTGGTGGAGCTCGGGTGGAGCTCGGACTGATCTTGTGGGCCTACCCCACAATATTGTCTATCATATTCTTCTACCTCATCTCCATATTCGCCAAAATTGAGCTCGTCAAGCTCAGAATTCGACAATTTGCATATCCTCGAACGTTCCAGAACGTCCAGAATCCTCAGAATCCTCCATACGAATCTCCCAAAAATCACGTCCTATCCTTCAAGCCTCACTTATCTCTCACATATCTCTCACTTTGACCTCATTTTGACCTTACTTCCACCATGTCTACATCCACAGATGTGATCCTAACGGGTCCTACCACATGGCAACTCTGGTATACCCAAATTAAGCGTCTTGCTAAGCAGCAAACTGTATGGGATTATATCAATCCAGAACAGAATGCACCTCAAGCAACGTTACCTAGGGTACCAGATATCACGGATATCAACGTGGACGATGCATTATATAATAGACAAGTCAAACGTCGTCTAGAGGTTAAAGACGTGTCAGAGAGAATTCGAAAAGTGGAAATTGCCCTACAATCTACGATCAATAGGTCGATGAAGGAGTTTTTGATTAACAAAACAACTGGATTTGAGATGCTGCGAGCATTATATCTCCTATATAATCAGCGAGACGTCTTGCACCGGAGAACAGTCGAAAAACGGTGGAGGAAGACGATCCAGGGCCCATCTCAGGGTCAGAAAATTGAGGATTGGGTCATCCAGGTGCAGACAATATATCATGAAGGTGTTATAGAGGGAATTGCCATCGTACAGACGACGGATTGTGCACCTCTAGACTTCATGGACGCCGTGCACAATATTACCCCATTATGGCATAACCGAACCTACAACGAGGTCATATCAAAGATCAAGAAAAATATTCAAGTGGATTTTGACGAACTTTGTCTAAGTTTCAGCCAGAATCTCGATATTGAAAAACCCAAGACGACCTCATTCCGCCAGTCACATGCCACGTTCCAGGATATTCCAGACCAGGCAGAACAGTCTAAATCAGGCAAATCGACTAAACGGACACCTCGCTGTCCCTGTCAGAATGTGCCAAATGACGGAAATCACCGATTCCAGGACTGCGCCTACCTCAATCCGTCAAAGAGACCAGCGAATTATACATGGGATGAAGACGTGGATTCACGCTTTGAGAGAGCAGCTAGCAAGAGCTTGCCATTCAAGACAGCCTTGGACAAATTCAAAAAGGATAATGTGGGTGCTAACGCGGTCAGCATGCTGACTATATTCAACCAGATCGGGTTGAATCAACCGCAAGAGACCCCAATTCGGACGTCATACCACGTTTCAACACCGCAGAATTGTCCAGATTGGGCCTTTGATACAGGGTCAAACACACATGTGTGCAACGACAGATCGCTATTCTCTAATTTCGTAGAACGGAGCACATACGTCAAAGTCGGAGATACTAGAACGCCGGTTCTAGGTGTTGGATCAGTCTCGTTCCAGCCAACCGAGGGAAATAGCCGCTTCGACCTCCATGACGTTGCATATTCCCCATCATTCCACGTCAACCTCATTTCCGCCTCGCGTGCACGTGCAGCAGGTGTGTATCTCAACGACCGGACTGGCTGCCTTGAAGGCAAAAATGGCAACTGGTTATGCAAGGTGGATTATCAAACTGGCATATTGCTGGTCAAATGGGACAAAGAGAACGTGTTTCAGAACGCATTTCTCACATCAAACTGCCATATTGACAGCCTCCATAAGCCTGATATAACTACCACACATGCACAATCAAACGTCTTGCCAATTCGACCAGTTGCCTATGGGACGTCGTCTAGTCCCCATATAACCAAGGCAACCATGGAGCTCGTCCATAAGCGTCTAGGTCATGTGAGCAAGGAAGTGGTGCAGCACGTCCAGGATTCGACAACTGGCATCGAGATCGACAAGACGTCGATATTTCCACATATTTGCGAGACGTGTCAGCTCAGCAAGGCAAAACGTCAGATATCAAGGCGTCCCATGACGACCGGAACGTCCCCATTTGAGGCTATCCACTGGGATCTCACCCATATGCAGCGCACTCACAATCAGGTGCAATATATCAGTCACGCATATTGTCCCGTGACTGGTTATCATATTTCGACAAATTTGTCAAGCAAAATGGATATTGCAGACGACTTAAGAGCCAAGATTGCCTTTCTGAAGCGTCAATTTGGAATTCAGGTCAAGGTGCTCCATACAGATGGTGACACGAATTTATCACAATTTACCCAAATTGACTGCATACGACTCGGAATTCAACACCATTATACGCCACCTGGTCAGCCGGAGCAGAATGGATATTCTGAGCGTGCTGGAGCACGAATTGCTGAATTATGCCGCTCCATGTTGATTGAAGCAGGTCTTCCAAGCTCGCTGTGGCCTGAAGCAGCGAATT